TTCAAACTGACAAACCTTCTATCACCTCTTCGTTACGGGAGTCGGTATACCAACCGGACACGCTTGTGCCATGCTCGGCTATGCTGAGCCAGAGCTGCACGTGAAACCAAGTGTGCGGTGACCAGGAGTACGTACCGTTCGGAAGTGGCTGCTGAGGTGATCCAGCCTGCTAAACCTCTTCCCGCACGCCTCACAGGGGTACGGGCGCTCTCCTGTGTGGCAGCGGAGGTGACGCTTCAGGTCTGCTTTTCTTTTCACCACGTGGGTGCAGAACGGGCACTTGAACCTCATCCTGGGCAGATCATCTGTCAGAAACCAACATAAACGGATTGAGCACATAAGGTCATAACACGTCTAGTCGTGTAACGCTCTAGGAAAGGGCACGCTACGCACAGAACAGCAAATGACTTCCTAGAAAAATACGATTGCAGGTCTTTCCACGCACTAAAATCTTGTGTTTTGCACAAATTACACAGGAATGTAATGAAGGAAAAGGAATGGACCATTAGCGACACTCAAACGAGCTTAAAACTATGCCCAGCGATCACAAATTTGCAAGATGAAGCTGCGGAGGCGGTACAGATCATGCATTTTGAAAAGCTAGTTCTAGCAGACCCGGTACTGCCATCATCACAGCTATTAAAAACCAAGACTTAAACTTCCCAACTTCACTTCTGGACGATACCGGTGTATTGTCGTGTGCTCCTTCAGCCAAGCACACGTCCCCAGGGACAGAACAGACCACTTGCAGGCGTCTGCACCTACAGCACAACAACACTTACCGTCAGCCCAGCTTCCCATGACGCCCAGAAGGGAGGGCATGCTCGCGTACTGCTCCTCTGCCTTGGAAGACTTGGATTTACTAGAAGACCGGGGCGATTCCCGCTCCTGCTGCGACACGGCCAAGCCCCTCGGGATCACGTCCGACCCCTGCCCATACTGGTACCCCACGTGATGGGGTTCAACTTCTGTCTCAAGCTGAACTTGCTCCTCAGCCTGAGCCATGTGGCCAGCGGGCTCGGCAGCCCTGTCCTCCAGCTTGCTTGATTTATAGTACGGCATGTCAGAAGGTTGCTGCGGTCCCAGGTGCCTTGATTTCTTTACGGATTCCTGCCTCTGCTCGTGTTTGGACAGCTGCTGCTGGGCACTTCTCTGAGAAGTTGGATAGTAGCTGAAATTGCTGCAAGCGTTTCCACCCATCATGCTCGTTCCTTGATCCGGACTTAAGTGGGGGTGTGGGGGGCTGCTTTCCGCCCTCCAGCCAGCGCCGTACAGGGAGGACCGCTCCACGCCGTTGGAATTCACGTTGTTGTCTGACAGACTGAAGTAGCGATCCTTCTCCTTCTCACTGATGTCCAGCGAGGACTTAATGAACGTTTTACACACGCTGATAACATCAGTCATCTGCAGGTAGCTAGCAGCCGACATGACTTCGATGACATTCTGACCGGTGAGGGACAGTTTTCCTGAATACATAAAATCTAGAATAACGGTAAATGTGTCAGGAGAGAACGCCTGGAAAGTAGCCGTCGTCGGCTGACTCGTCTCCTTGGAGCCCTGCGAAAGGAGCATTTTGAAGTAGCCGCTGCTGGCGAAGAGCACATTGCGGTGGGCTTTGAAGACCTTTCCCTCGACCAGGATACTGCAGTCGCAGAATAAGTCCTGCCTGCGCTGCTCATTGAGCTGCTGCAAGAGGTGAAACTGGTGAGAAGAAATCTCCATGCCAGAAAAAGATGGGACGAAGCGCCGCTCTGAAAAATAAAGGAAATAATTGGACTCTTTGACTGGTGGTCGTGCCACCCAGCCGAAGATGTCAGACCCCCTTTTACGGGTATCTTGGTAAATAACCCACTTCAATCTACAAATACACTGAATTACAACTCGCGCAACGACACACTCTTTTCCCCAAGAGGAGCGATGGAGAAGCCCGGTACCCGGCAGACGGTATCCGGCAT